CAGGTGGGGGGCATCAACAGCGACGAGGGACTCCGGTGGGCACCTGGGAAGTGCTGGGAGGAGACGCAGCAGGCAGCACCTGGGCCAGAGCTCACCGTGCGGACTAGGGTAAGGAAGGCAGTGGACAGCAGAGAAGAGGCCTGTTGCCCAGGCAGTGGCAGGGGGCAGGGCATCAAAACACACCTGGCTGCATCTCCTCAAGTTTGTGATATCGCTGGTGGCCTCTGGCCGCACGGAGACCCCAACGCAAGCTTTAGGTCTAAGCAAGCTTGGACGTCTCCTGCCTCCACCCGCTGTAACTCAGGCTTGGCTGTGGAGCATGAGCAAGGTTACCCTCTTGGACCTGAGAAGTGGGTTCCTGGCTGAAAGAAGGCGGCACACTCACTGAAGGTGGTCACCTTATGGTTGACCTAATAATGGCCCACCAAGAAATGGGGAATGGAGGCCTCGAAGAAAATCAAACTCCATTGGGATTTCTCGGTGAACAAAGAGAAGTGCCCGAGAGAAGGCTCAGCCTTGACGGGAGCTCTCTCAGTACTGGACTCCCACCAACTCTAACAGGATCCTAGGTGGCCCTCACCTGTTTTAGGTGTTCTCTTGTTGGTCTCTCCTTTTTTCTCTACTGAGTTCACATCTCAATTGTCAAGGTCCCACTGGTTCTTCCTAGACACATCCTGTGGGAACCTCTCTGATCTTTCTCCGTGGTGCTTTCTTCTTTTAATCCTTAACCCACTCCCTCACACTCTCCAGGGAACAGGAGGTGACATGGGGCTGGGGCTCCCTTCCAAGGCACCTCCTTCTTTTCTATGGGGAAAATGGCTACGTGGGATAGCACAGGGGCTGCAACCCCAGACCCCAGAGTCCTAGGCTTTCCATCCTGTTAGCTGTGTGACTGAACAAGTTCCTCAGCAGTTCTGTAACTCCACTTCCCTGTGGTAGAATGGGGGTGACAGCGTCTTTTCCTGTGAGACTGTGAAGACTAAAGGAGTTAATCCATGTAAAGACACAGAAAAGCCCTCCGTAAATGTTAGTTACTACCCTATATGTTCTTGAATGAATGATTTAAACAGCAGCCCATAGGGAATGTGTAAACCAATGAAATAGTTGTTCCTGGAATACAGAAAGAATATTTGTGGAAGTATAGTCCTGTGGTTTATTTTCTTCTTCAGGCCTGGCAGCGATAATGTGTCTTCTCAATAAGAAAGGAAGGCTCAGTTTCATCAGGAAGAGTATAGGGAACCTTCACTTTATCCTCACAACGAGCTTAGAAATTTCCCATTATTTATTAGAATGAGACTTCTCCAATGTTGAGCAACTTGCTGGAAATCACAGCGCCTAACAAAGTGTGGCTGTAAACTCAGACCCGTCTCACCACGGTACACAGTGGATCACACGACGTCCCCAGGTCTCCTCCATGCCCAGCCACCTGATCTCAAATACCCTCGAAGAGGATGAATTGAAATCATGACTTTTGAAGGAGCTCAGTAGTGATTAAAAAGACCAAGAGGACATTAGTCCAGAATTAACAGTCCGTAACTCAATCTATGCTGTAACCAGTAAGTAGCCTAACTTTAAAGAAAATTGTACGAGAATTTATAACTGGGAAAAAATAACTGGACCTTGAAGGGAAATTTTGTGTAGATGTCTCCAAAAAATCAAGATGGAGTGCGTGAAGTCATGATTTTGGAAAATGTAATGACAAAGATATAAACCGTGATGATTGCTGAATTTTACATTTGTGCAGTCGTCTTTTGACCATTCAGGGAATCCTACATGTCTCCATCACTTGGAAAATGCTGTGGAGGTTTTCTCTGTCACTGTTTTAAATATTCAGAAACAAAAGCAATCACCCATGGTCACAAAATAACCCAAGAACAGAAAGCAGCTCACAGCCTTTTGCTGTACGTGTGTCTATCAAATTATTTGTGTTGTACCAAAGAGGCTCTGGGTATATTTTACTTATTTGCTTATGTGACCTTCACCCATTGTTTTTGTTTGTGGTGAGGAAAGGAAAAGTATAGCAAGAACAAGATGCCCTTTCTATTCTGTCCTAAGACAGGAAACAGGAAGCGGGGGTGCTGCCATCTCTTGGGTACACAATATAATAATTTTAAATCATTATGCTTCGCAGTGAGAAGGCTGTTAGTCATCATGAAATCAACGGAAACACTGACTTACCTGGCGTGAGTCAGTTCTTTAGACTCTTTCCTCAGAAAGTCTTTCCTCTGGAAACTAATCCCAGAGGGTCTGAAGTCTCATTTTTCCTTCACAAGTAGACAGAGCAGGAATGTGCTGGTGGGTTGTGTACGTTATCTTAAAGATCACTGACTGGGCTAATATTTACATTTAATGATCCTAAAGCATATAGATAGAGCAGACACGGAAAATCTTTGAGTTGATCATTAAAGCCAATTTCCCGATTACCCCAAGGACCAGGAACTAGAGAGGAAGGCTGGGCCCTCTCAGACCCAGGAGCCCTGTGGCTGAAGTGGCCAATAGCATACAAGTTTTCTTCTACACCAAGCAAGAGAAAAAAGCAGACCAAGACACAGCCTTCAGGAAGTCTGGGCAGGGAATCAGAGTATTCCAGAACATTCTATGTTTCAAAGAAACATGGTGCTGCTACAGAAGGAAACTCTGAAGACGTTTACCAGGATGTACTGTTTGGGAACGGCCTGCTAGTTAGCTGAGTTTACTGTAGGAAGGCCATAGACACAAGGCACCGTGGCTAAGTGACATGTGTTTTACTAATAGCAATGCTGAAAAAAGACTTGGAGTAAGTAGAGGATGTATTTTTAAATTCAAGCCAGGCATGGTAGCCTGGGATCCTGGCCACTAGGAGGCTGAGGTTGCCAAGGTCTAGGCCAGCCTGGGCAACATAGTGAAACCTTGCCTCAAAATTTAAAAATAAAGGATCAGGGAGGTGGTTCAGTAGTAGAGCCCTTGCTTAGCATGTGTAAGACCCTGGGTTCAACCTCCAGAGAGAGAGAGGGAAAGAGAAAGAGAGAGAGAGAGAGAGAGAGAGAGAGAGAGAGAGAGAAGGAGAGAGAGAGAGTGAGAGAAATCAATTTGAAAAAGGAGAAGAATCTGGAAAAGCAATATAAGCCCCTCAAATCATATTTGGATCCAGAGAGGTATCAAAACAAGTTTTTCAGGGGCTGGGGATTGAGCTCAGCAGCTCAGCGCCTAACTGGTAAGAGCAAGGTTGTGAGTTTGATTCCCGGTACCCAAAAAACCAAAAAAAAAAGGCTTTTTATAAAAGTCTCACAGCTGGATGTGGTAGCACCTACCTATAATACCAGCACCCAGGTGGCTGAGGCAGGAGGATCACCTTGAGTTCAAGGCCCATCTGAACTACACAGTGAGACCTTATCTCAAAAGATTTAAATTAAATTAAAACAAACTTTTAAAAAGATTCACAAGGTGGTAAGAATTATGTCTTAACTGGAATATAAAATCCAAAGGAGACCCTCAGGGATGTTTAAAATAAAAGGGGAAATATGGAAATGCCATGAAGTTGAGCAAAAGGAAGTGAACTGAACTTTGAATAATGTCAATTTTCTACATAAACAGTGCCGTGTCCTAGAGATTAAAGAGTGGAGTTCACCTCTTCCTGTTACAAGAGACACTCCCAGAGGGCCCATGCAGTGGCCTGCGTGAGGCCTGTGCTCGTCACAGAGCTTCTCTGGCTGGGCTGCAAGGCCTCCCCCACATCTGCGGGTAGCGGTGCCTCCGTTCACAGCCTCAGCTCTCTCCACAATTCTAGGAGCAACGTGAACTGGGCGAGGGCCAATCAAATTTCCCCATAAGGTCAACGTTGAACCCAACCGCTCAACTGATGCAGCTCTCACCCAATTTGGTTTCCGACCAGAATCGTGGAGAGGATCAAATTCACGAACCAAGGCCCCACTGTATTTCCAGGATCCCACGAGTTCTCTGGTTTGTGAGACTATCAGGCTCAGTCATTTATAAAGAGCTTTCTGGCTTTACAGTTCTAAGATACAAGATATCTTTCTTCCTTCCCTGAATTCCTCAGGATCTAGAGAAAGAAGAACAAGCAACAGCCTTATTTTTTCCCTGCTGTTGTCTTCCCCTACCATGCGCCTGTTCTGGTGTCTAGAGAAGTGCTTCTCAATAGAAATACAGTTCATTTCAAATTTTCTAGTAACCACGTTAATAGTAAAAACAAATAGGTGAAGTTTGTTTTTAATAACGTATTTCACTTAACACAGTACTATATATTCAATACATGTAATTGATGTAAAAATTAATAAGATTTTTTATACTGTCTTCAAAATTCACTGTGTACAGTAGATCCATTGTTTGTGGAAGGTATATTCCAAGACCCCCAGTGTGGTTGAAACCCTAGTAGTATAAAAAATATATATATATAGATATATAGATATGTACATATACATATATATATATATATATATGTCTCTGTGTGTGGTATGTTTTTTCCTATACATCTATACCTGTGATGAAGTTTAATTTCTTAATTAGGTGCAGTCAGAGATTAACAACAATTATAATGATACGCTATCTAAGTATGCAACAGTGATCTCTTTCTCCCCCATATCTCATTGTACTATATTCACCTTTCTACTTCTTGTTTCTTTTGAATTGCTTCTCAGATTTTTATTCTCTCATTCTAGTGAGAAATATTTGGTTCTGACCCACCTGTAATGGGTCACGGGTTCCACTCTTCAGAAGACAGCTCAGTGGGCTCTGGGCCCCTGTAAGGGCGAGTTGGTCCTCCCTGCAGAAGGAGGGTGAGGTGTAAGGCGGCACCGGCCCACCTGAGAAACCCTGGAGCACTTTCGGGTCACTCCTTGCACTCAGCGCTCTGCTCACTTGTACCTGTGCAGTGGGGACACCTCCTAAGGAGATGCTCTGGCGAGGGTCATCTTTGTCCTTTTTGTGATGACAGCAGATGACACAAAGCCAACACAGTGAGATGCAGAGGGGTGAAGGACGCAGGCACTGCAATGTAGCAAGAAGCCACCACCACTTACGGGTCACTGAACAGCACGCTGTGATGCCATAGTGGGTGACAGAGCAGAGACAGCCGCACTGTCGGGGAAGGCCGCACACGCAGCGTGGACCTTCCGGCAAAGTCCTGCTTCCATCCTGAGTGGGGGCCTTGGCCGCCCAGGAAGAGCACACAGCATAAACTTAGGAACACTCCAGGCAGCGTCTGAATGTGGGTAATTGAAATGACTGCAGGCAAAGCCACGTTTTGCACTCACCACATAATGCAGTTCAGACTTTGCCACCTTCTGAGAGCTCAGCAGCCACTCGTGGCTGGTGTTGGAAGATGCCGTGTCCAGGAGTGGAGCCCTCCTGACAGATGGCAGCACCCATACCCTGCCAACCGGGTACTTTGAAAAACAGCCTGTCGGTTACCTGGAGCAGAACCTGGGGATGGTCTGAACCCACAGGAAAAGCTCAGAAGCTATGAAGACAAAACTACGGTGCACATGCATCCTTCCTCAAACCCCCGTCCATCCCCCAAGGACACGTAAGCAAGCAGTGTTTCTCCCCTTCCCACCCCAAATGCACTTCTCAGCAACAAAACCAGAGTGTTTTTCTCAGCAGTCCATTCCCCAGAGGAGAACATAATTATCTGCCGTCTTTGGATTCGGGGAGGTAGTGATTACCCACAAAATCCCTGCTGTAGAAACAATAAGCATCTGTATTAGCACTCTTCATTTTTTAAATGATGTGGAAACTTCCATTAATTCCCCAACCCTGGTGCAGGAACCTTGATTCAGAGAATGTGTGCAATTAATGAATTACTCGTTGTATGACATGAAAGCAAAAGAGGGTGGAAATAATTAGAATCTAATTTGGAAGATAGGGAGGTCGAGATATCAAGCCTGTCCTTTTACAGAACCAGTTGCAGCACTGAGCAAAAGGCGTAGAGGGATAAGGACTTTTTTTATTCAATCAATACATTCTGTAAGGTCAAAGTGGGGTATGTGTATAGAAGGGCAGAGTTTCCAAAGTAGCTTCTGGCACCTTTAAATTTCATCATCTTCCAATTTTCCTATCTTTTTCCTATTTGGACGGCAACGTAGCTCAGAGGGAGAAAGAGAATATTGGATTTAAATATTTTCCATCTTCTCAGAGGGGGGGAAAGGAGCACAAACGGTTGACACCAACGTCAGCATGTTTATGTTTCATTTGTCACAGTGCCGTCCCAACCCCTCTGTCATCCCCAGGAGAACAAATTTTGGCTAAGGATGTCAAGGGCGATTGGAAAAAACCACCAATGAAGTCACAGGTGTTGAAATGAGATGTCACTAATCCGTGACTGAAGCTACTGCTGCAGTATCGACTTACCTATGTGCTCTTTGTTCTGATGCTCCGGACAAGCACCTTTACACGCCCCTCCCTTTTGGATCACTAATAGCAACTCAGAAAGCATGCATTTCAGCTGAAGGAAGAAGGATTGCACAACACACAGTATAAAAAGCAGATCTGCGGTGCTTCCTGGACTCAGCACACCACTGCATTGGTAATGAGCATGTTCAAGGGGTTGATACTTACTGCAACGATGCCCCCTCCTGGTGCTGCCTTAGCCGATCGGATCAGTGCTCTTCTAGGTCTCTGAAGCTTCCCCACAAGGAGGCAGGGGCTCCACATCACTGTGAAGGAGGAGGGTGAGCCAGCTGGTGACCTTCCCAGTCTTAACCTGTGAAAAGTAAATGACCGGCGGATTATCTCGGTCAAAGTACAGACCCTGGATTTTTTGCAGCCTGGCTGTCTGTCCATCCCACTGCAATTGGCTTTTCTTTCGGCAGCCTTTATCTGCCACTTTTTTCTGAAACTGCCCTCTCCCCCTGACCCATCCTCTGTTCAGTCCTGATTGTGGAAAGGACATGGCATGTTGAGTAAAAGAGTAGCCAGGAATTTGGAATTAGTCCAGTCCTGCATCTCCATGAGGTCCTTTCCTTCCTCTTGCTTCCCCAAGTGCTACATTCAGAAGCAAAGTCTCCAGGAGAAAGAGGACCCCTTCCCGTCTGGACCTGCAGCACCTGCCCTGATCCTTTTCCAGCTCACCTCAAGCTGGGTGTTGGTCCCAGAATGTGGCAGTAGATGATGATTTTCAGAGAGCTGAGGCCTGCAGATAAGTGTGAATAGTGGGACACTCTGCCTGATTTACATGGCTACTGCTTCATGGATGCTGGCAGAAGACATGAGTCTCTTGGGTCAGAGACAAAGGACGTCACTACTGATAACAGAAAACAGCATCAGCACATTGCATGGATTCCCCGCCCCTACATAACACAGGGATGGTGTGGGGGTTCCAGGTGACTCCTGCACATGTGGGGGGCTGCATCACGGGACAGGAGACAGGGCTGAGAGCCCAGCAGGTGAGCAAGAAGCAACAAGCCTATCTCCTGCACTCTGACCTACTTCCTCACCTGAGTGGCTGGAGAAGCCGCCGAGCACCAGCACACGGGTCAGTTGCACAATCTGCACACTCAGCAAAGGCCTGCAGGGACATCAGGGCCTGGCACCGACCGTCTCCCCACTGCAGGGCCCACATACCCTGAACAATTCCAAACTTCAGAATTCCCCAAGTCCCAGGGTCCCTGACATTGAGGCCACGGGGCCCGTGCTGCTGTTGAAGACTGCAGGAGACACCATGTGGCTGCAGGAGGGACAGGGACTGTGGGGTGCACACCTGTTTCCTGCATATCCACAAAGCCACTTACAGAGCTGTTTCAGTTCCTCTTGCCCGGCTATGCAGCTCTCAGTTCCTGCTGGACTGCAGTACTGAGAAAGGAACACTACCAGCTCTCCAGTCCGTTGGAGACCAGGAGGACTCCAACACCAGCAAGAAAAACACATGGAATATGGTAAGCAACTCAGACTTAGTCTGTCCAAAATGCACTCCTGGTCTTCTTCCCACGGCTTCTCCCACAGCTGCCCTCCGTGGCAGCGCAGGGCCAGCCTTCCAGGTGCTCAGGAAGGCCATCTAGGGTCCTGCTGACTCTCCTTTCTCCCCCACTTCAGTCTCCCAACCTTCCAGCCACCTCCAGAAGCCACATCATTTCCCACCGCATCGTGACAACAGCCTCTGCCGGTCTGCTTTCCGGTCTGCTTTCTCCCGCGGCTCCTTGATCCAGCTGCCAGGGTGCTTCTTCCCGGAGGAAAGCAAGGCCGTGACTACCACTTCTTTGCCACCTCCCCGACCCTGACTTTCAACTCAGGAAAAAGTCCCACTTCTCGTGGTGAGCTGCAGCCCAGCTACCCTGGTCCAGTCTACTCTGGTCAAACTGCACTCCCTTCCAGCTCCCTGCTCCTTGGCTCTGCACTGCACCAGGCCCACCCGGCCCAAGACACTGGTCCTAGGCTCTGTCCACTGAGTGCTCCCCTGCTGGGAATGCCTGGGATCCACCTCCACTCCTCAGCCCTGCCCAAGTGCTCCCCACCCACACACTCGTCACCATTTGACACCCTACAAATCGTATACCCTTGTCATCCGCTTCCTCTGCCTGCAGCTCCGTGGAGGGAGAGCTTCTTGTGGCTGTGCTCGTTGCTGCATCCAGATGCCTCACACTGGGCATCTGCTGTGGCTTGGATGTGATCTGCCCCCTGCAGGTTCGTGTATGAGAGGCTTGGTCCTCAGTGTGGTGACGTCAAGAGGTGAAGGAGCCCTTAGAGTCTGGGCACTGCCCTCTGAGTGTCCTGGGTCGTTCCTGCCAAAGTGAGCTGTCATAAAGTAGGTCCCTGCCTGCTGTCTGGCTTTCTGTCTCACCACAATCCCTTCCTCTCCTACACACTCCGGCCATGTGACACTGCCCAGGGAGCCATCTCCAGGGCTGAGCAGATGTTGGCACCATGCTCTTGAAATCCCAAAACTCTGCTATTAAACTTTTTCCTTTCTAAAGTATCCAGCTCCAAGGATTTTGTTACAACAATAATAATAAAAAAAAAACTAATACAGTATCCAATAAATAGTGGTTAAATTCACTAATTCTACCTTTTCTACTTGTTAGTCCAGGGGAAGAGAACCAGATGAACAAGTACATAGAATAGAGTGTGTTAGCATATGGAGAAATAGAAGGTGCTCTAGGATCGTAGTAGAGAGCTGCACCAGGAGAATCACATGGGAACTGTTTCAAAAATAAGACCCTCAGAGAAGTCACTCTCGTTTACCAGCTCTCTGCCACCGAAAGGAGGGGTGGCTCGTCTGGCCTCATGGTTCCAGGGCTTTCAGTCCGCATCACTAGGCCCTGGTGATTTTGACGCTGTGATGAGACAGCACGTCATGGCAGAAGCACATGGAGGAGACGCGCTGCTAACCTCAAGGGGGCCAGGAAACAGAGGCAGGCAGGGCCCTTAGCAAGCCACGCCCCCAATGTCCTAACTTCCGCCCACAAAGCCCAGCTCCCTGAAGCTCCACCACTTTCCCATAGTGCCATGGGCTTGGGACCAGGCCTTCAGTCCAGGGGCCTCGGGGCTGCCCTAGGCCATCGGCATGCTTCAGTCTGCGGTATCCAGCATCCCAGCCTGCCCAGGGCCTTGGTTCTGTTTTAAATGTTATTAGAAGTGTTTATATTGCCTTTATAAGTATCAGCAAAATGGGGAAATCCTTTCTCTATTCTTTCTTGGGGATTGAATAGGGCATGCTAGGCAAGCGCTCTACACTGAAGTACACACACACTCAGCCCTTTTTTAAAATTTTTATTCTGAGATGGGATCTAGGTGTGTTGCCCAGGCTAGCCTTAAACTTGTGATCTTCCTGACTCAGCCTCCCATGTAGCTGGGATTACAGGTGTGTACCACTGCACCTCGGTCAGAAATACTTTCTTATCAGAAGTAGTAGCCTGGGAACTAAGGAAAACAGTGTTCCCTGTAGTTTTAAAAAATAATGTAAATGATTTCACAGTGTTCTTTCTTCTTTTCATGAGTTTAAGTTTAAAAATGTACTTTAAAAAAATCTTCATTGAGCCAGATTCTCTTCTAATGGTTAACAGAGGGGCCGTTTCACACAATCTTAGTTGCATGTACCTTCATAACTGTTTCTCTGACCTCTTCCAGGTGAAGGCCATACGCTTTTTAAAGTCTGCCCCTTCTCACGGACACCCCGCCCCCCATGACCTCGGCTCTGTCCTCTCGCCCACTCTCTTCCTCCCAGACACGCTTTCCATTCTGCCCCCAGAGCACAAGCACCCATGTGTCCAGGGCGACACACTCAGCTTCCACCTCATTTCCCCTAGATCCTCCTCCTCCTCCCCATCCACCTTCATCCCCAGAAGAGGGGCAGTTGTTGCTTTGGTCGGGGGGGTGGAGGCTGCAGGGAAACTGAACCCTCAGGGCTCCTCACGCCAGGATTCAGCCAGCCTTGGGTAGAAAACATCTGGAAATGTTGTGTCTGGACTGAACACAGGGACTTTTCTTGTCGCATTCTCTCAGCAGAGCTGCACCACGACCCTCAGGGGCACTTGTGCCGTGTCAGGCACCACAAGGGACTTAGAGGTGTTCATATGGGAAGATGCACAGGTTTTACACAAATCCTGCACCATTTTACAGAAGAGATCTGGTGTCTGCAGGGGCTGGGAACCCATCCCATAGGCACCCAGAGGTAACTGCGTGTGAGACCCTGGTCACAAAAGGCCAACTAGAAGCCACCAAGCACCAAGCAAAACTGCAGCTTTGAAATCACTAGGAATCGTGGATGTGCAGAATACAAGCAATATTTGGTCTCTGAGGAAAAGCAATTTTCACAGTCTGTGTGTGGCTATTGTTAGACCCCGAGGCCAGGTACTTTACAAAGAAAAGAGATTTGTTTACCTCGCGGAGCTGGAGGTCCAAGCACATCGCACCCCCACATGCTGGGCTCCGAGGAGGGCTTTGCTGAGGTTCAGCTCAAGAAGAAAGGGGCACAGGGCATGCAGAAGAGTTCATGAGCCAGCGACCAGCACAGGAGACAGCTTGCTTTATCATCACCCCAGTCCTGTGAGACAAGGACTCACTCTCAGGAAAAATGCTTTCACCCCTCCTGAAGGCCCCGCTCGCCACCTGGTACGCCCCAGACCAGGCCTTTCCACGCTGGAGGACAGCGGGTCCTTCAGGATTCTGCCCGGCTCTCAGGCTTTCTATCTGGGTTCCCCCTGTCTGGCCCCAAGGTTCCTCTCCTAGCTACCTTCAGCTTGAACAGACATGACTGTTTTCCTGCCCCCTGCACTGACCTTTCTAGAAGGTTCTATGGCTCAGGCTCCGCCCTTGCCTTTGCTTCCCATCCCTGTCTGTCCAGTGTGTGCTGTGCTCGCTCTGCAGCACTGCTCTGTTGCCAACTGGCTGGTTCTCGCTGGGGCCTGATGACCGCAATGGTGTGTGCCACTCTTGGGGAGCACATCTGCCTCGTGTGGGGTCCTCCAACACCAGCTGGTACTTCCTGTTTGAAAGCTTCAGCCCCAGGGAGAACCACCACTAGGTCTGTTTCCAGCCAAGGGGACTTTTCTGACTCCCTGCTCATTTGCACAATAGAAATGACACTCAGCCCAGAGGGCTCCATGGCCCTGCATGTGCAGGTCACCACGCAGGTCACCGGCTGGGCCAGGTGCTGTCTTCCCTGTGCTCTCTGTGAGCCTGTTTTCAGTGTAGGGGAGGGAAAGAGGCTTGCTCTCTGCTGCTGCTCCTCCCTTTGCTCTTGTTGCTTTTGCTGTTTTCTGCCACCACCATGACCTGTTGCCCTCTGCCACGTGCCACTCTGCCCTGCAGCCAGCCAAGTATGGACTGAAACCTCCACAGACTGTGAGCTAAATAAACCTTTCCTTCCTTAATTCTGGGCATTAGGTATTTTGTCACAGCAACAAGAGAAAAGTAACTAACACACCTAGCAAACAGGTTGCTCCTGGGGCCACAGCCTTCTTACTGTAAAAGATTATCCAAGTCCCCACAAGACACAGTGTGTCCTCAGCCACGTGTGCCCCCAGCTCGCTCTCAGCCTTGAAAGCACCTCCTGCAGCCACTGCAGCCCAGACCTCCAAACCCGTCAGCAGCCTTCCTTGAATTTTCCTTCTGAGCTGCTCAGCGGCAGGTCCCCTTCTCATCCTGGGTCTGGCTGCAGCCTTGCTTGTTCAGGAGGCAGCCGCCATGAGATTTCCCTCGTTCAACGGTCTACGCCTACACTCAGCACAGACGCCGTGAGGGGGGCACACCGCGCCCTGGACAGCACATGCGGATGACAGGAAAGGGGCCCCTCCAGTGCTCTGCTCCCCCGGCCCCACCCACCCTCACCCCAGCTCCTTCCACCCACCCCCTCAGCAGTCCCATTTCTGTGTCCAACGTGTCCCTGTCTTCTGTGACTCCGCAGGTGGGACACAAATTAAGGGAGAAAGGCAGTTACCAGTAGATGAACAAAGAGCATATTTTTTCCTGTTTCATTTTTAACTGATGACAGTGTAAAACTTGTGCATAGCCATAGAGTAAAATCGAAGTTTCCATTCACTGTGTGATACTTCCGTCAGGATGAGTCGGGCTCCCTCCTCGAGCACTGATCATTTCTTAGTGGTGAAAACCGTGAACAGATTTCCTTCCGGCTTTTTTGAAATGTACAGTTCGTTACTGTTGCAGGTAGTCATCCCCGTGCACCATAGCACCCCAAAATGTCTTACTCTTATTAAACTGCAGCTCAGTGCACACTGACCATGCATTCTTATTTCCCCCCACTGCCCGGCTGGGTGGCCAGCCTTCTACTCTCAACTTGGAGGGTACCAGCTGCCTTGATCCCACCTGTGGCTGACTTCCTGCCATTCTCGCCTTCCTGAGCCTGCGTCACATAATGACCCATGCGTCACAAGGACAGGACTTCCTCTTTCTCACGGCTGAGTGCTACTCCACTACGCATATGACCCTCACTTTCTTTCTCCTCTCATTACTTGATAGACACTTAATTCGTCTCCGTGTCTGAGTAGGCAGCATTATAGTAAGGCTTAGGAAGCGATAACCAACCTCTGGGGTTTGAAAATGTTAACTTAAACCGGAGTAATGCATGATTCATGGGGCCCAGCATTCCACTGGCCACTCAGAAGCCAGATTTCAAGCAGACACAGGGACCTCCCACTCCTGTGCAGCGAGGTACTTCACACAGTGATCAGAGGGCATGGAGAAGGCTCCTCTGCACCCCAAGGTTCTTGATTCCGGTCCCTCATTTCCCCACAATTCAAAAGTATTATAAGGGATGAAATTTTAACTTGAACTTAAGGGAAACGTTACCTTGTTACCTTTAACAGAAGGACCACCTTCCTGTTCCTCAAGGCACCTCTGAGGAGACAGGCTGAAAACACCGCGGGGATCTGCCTGTCACCTGCTAACACCGGCTGAGGCCTCCTTGTGTGTCATGAGTTTTGATTCCTAAAGGACCCTGTGAATGGCGGGCTCCGTTTTCCACAACTCACAGGTGAGCCGAGGAGGTTGCCAAAGGTTTGCGGGCTCGGCCGGGGTCCTGCTGCTAGTAAGGGGCAGGCGAAGGCGGACTCACTGAGCCCCAGTCCCCAAGCCTGTTACTGCGCGTGGGTCCTCCCAGGGCTGGACAGCAGCCCCGGGGTCTGTGTAACCTGGAGCAGGTCGGTCCCTCACTTCCCCA